CTTACACTATGAACTCCTCAAGAGGAGGTCTATATCTGACTCCTTCCCTAGACCAGGAAAACATGATGTTCCTCAAGCAAGTATTAAAGAAATGAGTGGATGGAGAGCAAGGAACACGAGCAGAAAACAGCAAATAGGATGGTGACTATTGTTTTCCTCCACCAACAAGAGCCTGAGACAAGGCTTAGATGAAGTTTATTTAGGAAAGGGATTCCAAGGCCGCAGCAGTGAGGGCCTGGGGAGGGGGGAGCAGGCAAAGAGGGAGAGCCAGCCCAGGGGGCATTACCCCTGCAGCGCTCAGCACAGGCTGAACCCCACTGGGGACTTTGAGGGACTGTGAGAAGGACCCTAGAACTGCATGCCTGCACACAGCCCTCCACTTCCCATCCCCAGTTTATCAGAGGTTACCCCATAGCTAGGCAAGTCCCTAGCAAGCACAAAAGGCAACCAGGAGGCAAGTGTGTCCATGTTCCATGCTGCAAGGCCAGGGAGCCTTCAAGCTGAAGGTGAGTGATTCCCCGGTGCAGAGAAAGCCAGAGCTGTGGGGCTGCACCTGCACAAAGCTGGTTGCTGGAGCCACCGAGGACTTCTATGCAACGCGTGGTATAAACAGCAGCATCAAAGGGGTGGCTTGAGTTGATTTTTAGGACCCTCTTTCAAATCAAATCAGTCCTTCCCCCAAGCCCTCTTCAAATACAGTATTGCCCCCCAGAATCCAAACACCCCAGAACTCAAATAACTTAGAATCTGAAGGAAAAATTCACGCAAATTTCTGCTAAAATCCAAACACTGCTTTGGAATCTGAGTGCTCAGCATGCTGTGTGTTTTTGTGCATAGATTTCCCCAGTGCTGGGGCCACCCTATGCTTTGCCATTTAGTTCATTGTCAGAAGCTGAAGTGAAAGCAGCTCATGATTTTCGCTGCTCATTTTATGCTTTTGTGTCTGTTGTGTGATATTTTTTCATATAATAACAACTGAGTGTATTCACCATGGGTCCGAAAAAGTGTAATGAGGAAAATAAAAGAGGAAAGCTGTTAGAGCTACAATTGAAGTTAAGAACGGGCTTACTGCTAAGCACGAAAGCGGTACACATGCGGCTGATCTCACTACTATGTTTGGGACGCCTAAATCGACAGTTTGTACAATTTTGAAAAATAAAGAAGCTATCAAAGCACCTGATATGGCGAAAGGGGTTACCATGCTGACCTCTAGGAGACTGAAAAGTACGAAAGAGATGGAAAAACTCCTCCTAGTTTGGATTAATGAAAAATAGCTGGCTGGTGATGAGGTTTCTGAGATGATGCTTTGTGAGAAAGCCAAGGTCCTGCAGGCTGATTTAGAGAAAGGTACGCAGGATACTAGAGCTCAAGGAGGAGTTTAAAGCCAATGGGGGTGGTTCAGGAGCTTTGAGAAAAGGACTGGGATCCACAGTGTAGTTATGCACGGAGAGGCTGCCAATTCTAATTCAGAAGCAGCAGCAAAGTTTGTAAAGGAGTTTAAGGAGTCTGTGAACAGAGAGGGGGATGTTTCCAACCAAGTGTTCAATTGTGATGAAGCAGGCCTTCGTATTTTTAGATTTTAATATTTTTAATTTTATCACTTTACATTTTTATTCAAATACTACTATTTGTTAATATTTTACCTTAAAATCCAGTGTAGATACTGTTAAAATCACTTCTGAAAATTTGAATTTGTGGGACCCGGAAACAGCTTAATCCAATTTCTATCATTTTATTTTTTTTAACCTGATCAAATGCTGCTAGTGTATATTTATTTGCTTTTTTTTTTTTTTTCAGTTTTTGGCCAGGGCTGGGTTTGAACCTGCCACCTCCGGTATATGGGGCCAGCGCCCTACCCTTTGAGCCATAGGCACCGCCCCACTTTTTTTTTTTTATTAAATCAACTGTGTAAATTAATGCAATCGTGGGATACAATGTGCTGGTTTTATATACAATTTGAAATATTTTCATCGAACTGGTTAACATAGCCTTCACAGCATTTTCTTAGTTATTGTGTTAAGACATTTATATTCTACATTTAGCAAATTTCACATGTACCTTGTAAGATGTACCATAGGTGTGGCCCCACCAATTACTCTCCTCCCCATATCCTCCCCGCTCCCCTCTCTCTCTCTTTTCATCATATCAATTTCTATCATTTTAAAGGGGAAAAATTGTGTTGGAACTTGAATGATTTGGAACTCAAACATTCTGGAACAGATTAAGTTTGGATTCCAAGGTATCACTATAAACATATAATCTTAGAAAAAATCAATGCAGGGGGCCGCACCTGTGGATCAGTGGGTAGGGTGCCGGCCCCATATACCAAGAGTGGCAGGTTCAAACCCAGCCTGAGCCAAACTGCAACAAAAAAATAGCCAGGCATTGTGGTGGGCGCCTGTAGTCCCAGCTACTCTGGAGGCAGAGGCAAGAGAATCACCTAAGCCCAGGAGTTGGAGGTTGCTGTGAGCTGTGTGATGCCATAGCACTCTACCAAGGGTGAAAAAGTGAGATTCTGTCTCTACAAAAAAAAAAAAAATCAATGCAGGTCTGTGCTGCCTAGTTCTAGCAATCAATAACTAGATCTAAGACCCTCTATAGGAAAGCTCTAAGCTCCAGTTGGGTGTTACTGTCTCTCTTACCCATCCATAAAGAAACTCCAAGAAACATATTTCTTTTAATATTTAGTTCTTTTATTTGTGTGTGTCTTTAAAATCTAAAGAAAAAGGTGCTTGGGAACCTTTAAGAAAGAAACCAGTCAAGAGGGTCTTTCCCGTTGCAACCCATGAGGGGTCTTCAGATGATGGGAAAGTTCCATTTTAATTTCCAAAAAAGGCTTAGAGAAATGACAGGATAAAGGGGGAAAAAACCTTCAAACTGGAAAAGAATCAAGATGCATGAGCTTGGAGAGTACACGGGGTACAATGACAGTACTTTTTAAATAATTCTATCAGGACATGTACGATGACAGCTGGACTCTGGGGCACCTAACACCTGTTCCCTGTTGTGTCATGATTCTGCACAGTGTGGGAAGTGCTTCTCTATCTACCCCCTAACTCTGGCAGCACTTTACATGAATATCTTTCATGGTTACTTTCTTTGCTCTTTTGTGGTAAATCAGACATTTTTGAACAGTCAAAGATCAAAGGCAAGGTGAGAGATTGAAATTTGTTTTCTTGTGTGAGACACGCCTAGATCACCACACAAGAGCTCACCAAATGTTCTGAGCAGTGATGACATCACTGAGACAAGATTACAGAGTTCTGGCGTGATGTTTAATTAAAACTTTTCATCTGATCAAGGGAACTGTCAATGTTGGTGACAATGTAAATTACCCATCACCGAGAAGTTCTTCCCCTGAGAATTTATCCTAAGTAACTAAGAAAAATGTGGGCTAAGGCTTAGCTACAAGGATATTCACCAGATTGCTTTCAAAAAGAGCAGAAATTTAGAAACAAGCTAAATTCTCCAAAGAGGGGGATTAGTTAAAAATATATATAGTATGATATCATCCTACAATGAAATGCTGTGTTCCATGCTGCTGTAAATATAAACACTATATATATGTACACATATTTATATATTATCTGACATGAGGCAAAAAGCATCTGTACTATTCCTCTGGTTAATATTGGATGGATGGGATTATCAGTATTTTAAATGTTCTTTTTGCTTGGTTTTCCCATTATGAGCATGAATTGCCTTTAGATATCGAAAAATAACTAAAGAAAATTTACAGGGGAAGGAGATTTTAGAGCCCCACTGCTCATGCACAAAAAGGTCACAATTCTCTGGCTTAGCTCATGTAGCTCACGGAGCAGTTTCATTCAGTAGACATTATTCAGCCTCAGCCGAGCACACCCAGCACTGCAAATGGCTGGAGACACAAAGATGAAGGTGGGGTAGTTTCCTGCCTTTGAGGGACTCAGGCTAAGTAGCGGCTCAAATATTTCAACAGAAACTCAACAAAAAATCTTGGGGAAGTCTAAGATTTGAAGCACTCCTGAGCCTTCCAGGCTAGATAGCATGTTGTATATTGCAAGGCAGCATTATTGTAATGTAGGCTTCCAAACACTTTCCATCAGAGGAACCAGCTCACGGGAGACACTAAGTGTTCTCATGAGAAGAGGTGTATAGAGTCAACAGCATGTGAGGGAATGGTTATATGAACTTTTCATGGCGGGAAGACTAAAGCTATTTTCCCAGAAGCAATACTGTAAAAATAATGTTTCTCTTCTATAGAAGAATACTCCAAGACACTATATTACAGGAAGACATTTCACCTTCCTTTGATCCTAGACATTTAATATCTTCTGATCTGAGTTTCAAGGGTACTGTTTTTTGTTTATTGCAATTGCATGTTGCCCCCTAGTGTTCATCTATATTATCACACCCTGTTGTAAGAGTTTGAGGGTGGAGGGGATAGAGGTCAGAGCCGCTTCCCAAAGAGGGAAAAAAAAAAGGAATTGGGGCGGCGCCTGTAGCTCAGTGGGTAAGGCGCCGGCCCCATATACCCAGGATGGCGGGTTCAAACCCAGCCCTGGCCAAATTGCAACAAAAAAATAGCCAGGTGTTGTAGTGGACACCTGTAGTCCCAGCTATTCGGGAGTCTGAAGCAAGAGAATCGCCTAAGCACAAGGAGTTGGAGGTTGCTGTGAGCTGTGATGTCATAGTACTCTACCAAGGGTTAATAAGTTAAAGTCTGTCTAAAAATAAAAAATAAAAAATGAATTGGACGTGTGACAGAACTGTCAAAAGTACATTAGCTACTTAAATTGTGAAACATAACCAAAGACTTTTCTATAACAAAAAAAAATTAACTAATTTTTGGTCAAGATAATAATAGTTAATATTTATTTGCCATGTGCCAGGCACAATGTTAACTGCATTGCATGTATCAAATCATTTAATCCGATAGAGAAAATAAGACCTATTATTTGATAGATCAGTAGGGTGACTCTAGTTTACAGTAACCTATTATATATTTAAATAGCTAGAACAGCTTTGCACAGTGGCAGTATGGTAGCCAATGAGGTTTACTGAGGTGAGATTATTGCTAGTTGAAAACTCTTCCCAATACCCTGCCATGATGACTTGAAATATAGTCGGCCTTGGCAATGTTTGACACTCCCTACGAGACTGAAAGAAAAAAAAGAAAAAGAAATAAATTATAAAAATAGCTACAACAGAATAATTTGAATGCTTCTATTATAAGGAAAAGACAAACATTTAAGGTAATGGATAGCCTGGTTGCATGGATTGGGGCTCATGGTCCTGCAGGCTGTACAAGAAGCCTGGCGCCCACGTCTGTGTCTAAGGTGAAGGCCTCACACTTCTTCTACTCCTGACAGAAGGTGAAGGGGAGACAAGGGAAACTGGTAAGCAAGAGAAGAGTGGAGGGAGTTTCCAGGCTCTTTTTATCAGTAAACTGTCACAGGAACTAATAAAGAACTCATTAGCACAAGAGCAGCCCCAACCCATTCATGAAGGATCAACCCCCATGACCCAGACACCTTGTACTGGGCTCCATCTCCAACACTGGGGATCACATTTCAACAGGAGACGTGGAGGCAACAAATATCCAAACTACATCGTGTGGTAACTCCACGTTGAACATATCCAGGAACTGCCAGCCTGTTTCCCAAAGGCACCTGCGCCATTTTGTTTTCTCTCCAGTGGTCTGTGAGAGTTCCAATTTTTCCACATTCTCCCCAAAACTTATTGTTATCTTTTCACTATTGCCTTCTTAGCGAGTGCGAAGTAGTTCTTCATGGTGGTTTTGTTTTGTACGACCTTGATGGCTAATGATGTTGAGCATCTTTTTTTATGTAAAATCGCTTAATTTTGCTACTGGTAATACGGTGACAGCAGCAGTCACACAGGCCAAATTAGCACTCACTGCTTTTACTTTTGTTAGCAGTCTAAAATACAAGCGAGAAACAATCAAAAGAGACGGAATTGAAAATTCTGAAGAAGGCCAGTCATTTATCTGAGCCCCTGTTAGAGGCAGGACACTGTGCTGGGTGCTGTCAGTGGGGGATGGCCGCGTGGGGGCAGCCTCTGCCTTCCTGGAGCTTAGCATTCCATCAGGCAGGCTGGCCATAGGCAACTATTTACCTAACTAACCCTCCTCTCCCATCATAAAAAGCTCTTGGATGTGAAATAATGGGCCATAACACAGCCTGTTATGTGGCTGAGGATCTGAAACATATAACAAAGTTCTTGATTATATCTGAGGGTCAGGGTCAGGGTCAGGGAAGGCTTCTCAGAGGAACTGAAATCTGAGTGGAGATCTAAGAAGAGTTCACTGTGGGAAGGAGCTGGGTGGTGGCATGGGAAGGCACTGAGGTTGGAAGGGAGCTGAGGGGCTGGGCAGGTTTGAAGGACTGGAGGTCGGCCAGGGTGGCCTCTGGAACTGGAGTTTAAGTGCTGGGTCATCTGGAGTCTTAATCCAGGGGTAACTGAGGTTGGGTAATGTAAACCTCTTTCTTTAAAGAGATTTCTGTGGCTCATGGTCCAAGGAAAGAAGAGGCTAGAGAAGCAAGCCAGCTCATGTAAGACATGGCAACTTGTGTTGCGAGTTTTGATGGATCTTATTCGCAAGAACAGTAAGATGTCAGTTGGGGAGCTAGGTGATAAAGATTGCATTTGCACCTTTAAATGATCACTCTGGCTGCAATTTGAAGGATGCAGAGACAGGAATGAAGGAAAGTAACCCTTTCAAGAAGTGATTTTAATTAATCCAGACTAGAGATAAAGGTAACTTAAGCCTAGGGTTGGGGACAGTAGAGAGATTTGACAGAGAACTAGCAGAAAGTTTGCAGAAACCTAGTGAGTGATTTGATTTGGGGGCCCAAAAGTGGAAGATGTCTCCTTGCAATTGGATGGATGATGTTTTCATGAACTTGAGAATGGGAAGGAGCAGGCTGAAGGAGGGGGAGATTATGAGTTCATTTCAGAGAAGCAAAATTTAGGTACACAGGAAACGCCAAGTGGAGGCAGTTTGATAGATAAGGTTGTCATTTAGAAGGAAGATCCAAGCTAAAGGTACACACTGAGATCCTTAGGGTATAGGTCAGGGTCCTCAAACTTTTTAAACAGGGGGCCAGTTCACTGTCCCTCAGACCGTTGGAGGGCCAGACTGCGGGCCCCGGGATGAGTTGGATGCTAAGCAGGACAGGCAGCAGTGGCAAAAACACCCGGTGGGCCGGATAAATGTCCTAGGCGGGTTGCATATGGCCCGCGGGCTGTAGTTTGAGGACGCCTGGTATAGGTGGCAAATGTGGCTATGGCTGGAGATTAGCATATTTAGGGAAAAGTTATGGAAGTCAAAGAGAAGCCAGCTCAGGGATGACCCATGAGTCACTTCAATATGTAAAAGGCCTTATAAAAGAGGATCAACCAAGCAGAAGCACTGAGGAGATTAAAGTGTGAGAAATAATAAAATCCTGAGCCTACCAACCAACTGAATGGACCCCTTTTGGTCAAGGAGACTCCCGAGAAACCTTAACACTGAGTTCCCAACCACAACAGGATATGAGGTCAGACTCATCACTTATGCTCCCTCCCTGTTGGCCATCAACACACTTTCTTCCCTAGGGGTTAAACTGAACCAAATCTTTGGGTGGATCTGCTCTGCCACTGATTTCAATAAACCCTGTAATGCTGCTCCTCCCCTTCTGTGGTTTCAACTTACAACTGACCAGTGTTTCTTCCTGATAAGAGGTCACAGACCATGGAGAGGCTGGACAGAGAGAGTTTCCATGTCTGCTCCTTCATCTTTGATAGCAGAGGGCTGAAAACTCCACCCCAGCATCATGCTAAGGCCACTATTTTTTTGAACATGGGTCCTATGAAGTAGCATGAAGCTCAGTTGCCCATGCGCGTGTTTCTCCTTTCATAAATATTCATGAGTCCTTCTACAGCTCGTTAAATACATATATTTAGCTGCCTGCTTAGCATAAAATTCCTGCTCCCAGTGCCTTTCCCTCCAAATATTTGCTCTTGGCTTCTGGCCAGAAGTTATGTTTCCCAGCCTGCAAGATGGCCAGCCTGCAGGCGGCAGCCCTTTATGTGAAATAACACTATCCTTTCAAAATGTATCATCCTCATCATTCTTCAGTTGACATGAGGTAGGATGAAAACTGAGAGTTATTCAAGCCAAGAAATGAGAGAGTTTCAAGGAGAGAGTGAGTGATCCACAATATCGGAAACTGCCAGGAGACGTACAACATGGTAACCAATCCACCGGATTGGGTAAGAAAGAAGTCACAGTGATTTTGCAGAAGCGGATGTGGCTGAGTAGCAGGGGCCAGTAGCATCACAGTGGAGTGTGGTAAGGAGAGTGTAGGAGGTGAGGAAACAGACGATACAAGTAGGCGATGCTGTCAAATCTATGGTCGTAAGAGCAGGAGGGGAGAAGTAGCTGGAAGGAGATGTGAAGTCAAGAGAGGGTTGAATTTGAGACAGCAAGATGAGGCGTGTTTAAATGTGGATGAGAAGGATCCACTCTCCTGGTAGGGACAGAAGGATGACAAGGAAGCATAATTTAGTGACAAAAAGTTTGAGTTCTGGGGCCAGACCACTTGAGTAGCTGCTGACTCTCTGGTATGGCAGAGGGCAAGGTATTCGGCCTCTCTCTGCCTCAGTTTCCTTATCTGTAAAAGGAAGAAAAATTGGACTATTGTTATGAAGTCAAATAAGAGAATGTATGAAGAAGGCTGGGGTTTGGGGTGCTACATGCCTCACTGCTGAATATCACTATGGTCACCTTTGAAGTACTCTCCTTAGGAAGCTACACACAGATGCCAGTGGCTAGTCTGCCTTCCAAAGCAATTTTGGAACTCTTCTTCTCGAATGGCCATCAGAACTGTTGTCATATTACCTTTGATGTCCTGAATGTCATCAAAAAGTCTTCCTTCCTTTCAATATTTCCTTTATCTTTGGGTAAAGAAAAAATTCATTGGGGGTCAGGTCAGGTGGGTGTTCCAGTACAGTTATTTGTTTCCTGGCTGCAAACCCTCTCACAGATGGTGCCATGTGAGCTGGTGGTGCATTGCTGTTGCTTTAATTCAAGCTCTGACATTCTCATCATGGCACAAAACACATGCAACAGTTATAATGAATTCTGCTCAGCAAGACACCGCCACACATCCACACTAACACGGCTGTGAGACACTGATATGCTAAGGTTATGAAGCCTACCAAGCTCTTTATACAGTGTTGCTGACTTAGGTGCACAGTGGCAAGTCTGTGAACTGAATTGTCAAACCTTGTAAGATTTCAAAGTGACTATTTTCTCCTTCACCTGAACTTCCCTTAGAGACACCTATTTGTTCTCTTTCAATTTCCTTCAGTAACTAACAGACAGTTCCTGAGTCAAAGGGGGTTCAGTAGACTGTTTGTCCTAACCCCCAACATGATGGTATGAGGATGTGGGGCTTTTAGCAGGTAATTAGGTAATGAGGGTGGAGCCCCCATGGATAAAATTAGTGCCCCTATAAAAGGGACCACGGAGAGTTTTGTTGTCCACTGTCCACCCTGTGAGATATAAGAAGACAGCTGTCTGCAACCTGGAAGAGGTCCCCACCCCACCCAGAACTCCACCAGTCCGGCAGCAGGATCTTAGACCCCTAGCCTCCAGAGCTGTGAGAAATGAATTTCCATTGTTTATAAGCCACCCAGTCTATGTTATGTTGTTATAGTAGCACAAATGGACTCACATATTGGTGATATGAAGTATTTCTATAACTAAAATACTGACAGAATGTGAATATATACTCATCAAGTCTTGTAACAAGAAATTCATAGCAGCATGACTTATAATAATCCCCAAACTGGAAGCTACCCAAATACTCATCAACAGAATGGACAAGGCCAGGTGCAGTGGCTCACACCTGTAATCCCAGCACGCTGGGAGGCCGAGGCAGGTGGATTGCCTGAGCTCACGAGTTGGAGACCAGCCTGAGCAAGAGTAGGACCCCATCTTTACTAAAAGCAGAAAAAATTAGACAGGCATTATAGTGGGCACCTGTAGTCCCAACTACTTGGGAAGCTGAGGCAGGAAGATGGCTTGAGCCCAAGAGTTTGAGGTTGCTGTGAGCTATGACACCATAGCACTCTACCCAGGGTGACAAAGT